GGGGGGGGGGGGATAGAGGACGCACTCTTTCTGCAGAAGCCGGCTATGAAATTACCCAAATTAGGCATTTGGGATTGACTTTAAAAAGGCTTCGTTTTTTTGTCGGACATTTTATATAATATAATTACCAGAATAAAGCAAAAACTCTTTCTTGTTAATAGATATTGTGAAAATAATTATTTTAAAATAAAGCAAAAACTCTTTTGAAATTGTTTAAAGTAAAAAAAGGTATAAAAAAAAGATTATTTTTTTTTACCAACGTTTTAAAATTAGAGTTTAAATTCCAATATAAAGATCAACCCAGCAGTTAAAATTACGAAATAGAAACAGTTTATAAATTGTTTTGTAAAGATGCTATTTTACTAAATTGGATTTTTTTTTTAAAAAAAAAAGAGAGGGTATTTGACCAAATCTATTACGGAAGTACGGTTGCAAAGAAGCAGCAGACCGGTTCGGACAAGGACACTTCCTGTCAACAAAACTCATGAAACCATGTTCAGATGAGATCTATCATCGTCTGAATCAGATACACCAAAATACGGCAGTTCCATTTTTGTTCCGGCGAGCCATGAAATGGTTATGAACGTGATCGGATTTGCGAGATGGAAGCCTCGACACGATCGAGAAGAAACCGTTGCAGCTTCTCTCTCAGATCTTCAATCTTCTTGCCTGTATCCTCCATTCTGTTCACGATCAGATCATCCAGCCATTGATTTGCTTTCTTAAGCTGAATCAGAAGAGATGCATTCCCATTTCCATTTGCGTCTTCCTTGTTCATCAAGAAGAACCCTCTGTTCAGCGAATCCTCCAAGTACTTCAAGAACCATTGACGAGACACTAAGAGTAACTCCTCTGCTAAAGCCGTGGATGCTTTCCTTCTGTTACCAGCCGGACAACCTTTCATAGGAGGCGACCCGACACTCTTTTTCGCCGGATTTCTCGGGCTTTTCTTGCTTCCCCGAGTAAAATCCTCGGGATTTCTTTTTCCCGACGAGTTTTCCACCAAAATGTAGCCGTGATGATGATCTTCTCCGGCAGCAGCTGCCTCTTTGAAAAGGCTGAACCTTGATAGGTCGCTCGATACAGCAGCTTGTACCCATGATGCTGCATTCTTTTTACCCGTCGATGTACAAAATCCAATGTGATTGTCACGAGATCCGGAATGTTTGCTGGATATCGAGCCGGGAGAACTAGAGTTATTAAGCAAGGGATGGGCAGCTGCTGCTATGTCCTGCATAATGTGGTAGAGGTCCAAGAATCGGTGCACCAATTCTCCGGCAGACATTTTCTGAGAGGACCCGGACAATTCTCCAAATGCCCTAAACCAAACGAGATAACGTATCGTTAAGACACGACCCGAGAAAAACCTGAATTTGTAAAATGGTGAAATGGATTTGTAGAAAAGCATACAGCAAACAGTTTAGAAGAGACTGTGCGGCAGATGCATCCTCCAGCGCGGTTACTGCAGCCGTGAATGCGATGTTCTTACAAGACGAAACTTCCTGAAGGAATTTCAAGACATGAAACACAACTTCTCGGTTCACGGAATGGAACATTTCCGAGACAAATTGTAAGAGAATGTACCTTTCCGAGCGTTCGAATGGTTGATGGGCATCCACTCCACAAGATTCTACGATCAGACAGAGGAAACTTAAAGAGAGCAACAGGAACTACAGGTTTGGACGATGACTTGATACTGTGTTTTGGAGTTTTGGACACAGATTTTGGCGGCATGAACTCGTTTCTGGTTTTCAAAGCAGCTGTATCAGAACTCAGTTGCCTTGAAGGGGAATCGTTCTTTGGTGAAGCCTTCTTATCAGACAAGAACTGATGCAATGTTTCGATTACTGTTACAGACCAAACACTAATGCTCCACAATCTAATGCAACAAATGGATCAAACCCAACAGTTCCAAGAAGAAGAAGGTACCAGTTTGTTCCTGAGACGCGGGGAAGAACTAGAAAGCAAAAGGGCGTCACGTCGGAGAGGCGATGGAGGAGTCTGGTCCCAACCCTTCCTCGGAGAATCCAAACCCAGTCTCTTCGTCTCCACGCCATTCTTCTTCTTCCTCGTCTTCTTCTTCGAATCATCTAATGTCGAGACCTGAGTAAAAGGAACCAGCACATCGCTCGAAACCAGATCGCTAGGGTTTCCGAAACACGGCCGCCGTTTCGGCACGGGCTTCAACCCGCGGATGACCGGAACCGGACAACCATTCTCGACGTGGAAACCTCCTCGGACGTACACCAGTTGCCCTAACTGGATCTCGTCTGAGCGAATCAGGTCGGCGTCGTCGCCGGCGCAAACGGCGACGTACGCGGCGTGGAGAGAATCGGAGACCTTGAGGAAGAAACCGTCGCTCCGCCACTGGTCGTCGGCGAGGCAGGGGACGATCTCGGTGACCTGGAGGAGAGGGAACCGGTGAGGGGAAGAAACCGTCGGCGGAGACGATGACGCCGCCACGTTTCCGGTGGCGTTTTGGAGAAGCTTCGAGAGAACGCGGGGAGTGGGGGCAGCCATCGTCGGCGGCGGAAACGGCGGTTATGGCGGTGGATGAAATGAGAAGACACCATGGTTGGGGGGGGCGGGGGGGAAGGGTAAGATGGCGAATCTCAAAGAGACATCGGGGAGTGTTGATCGAGGTTCGTCGTTTCATGGCGGAAAAAAGCTGAGTAGACATGTCAGAGAGTGAGGAGTCAGACTCTGGCTTCGAGATTTCAGGAGTTGCAGCACGACGAGTCTTAAGAAATCTTTTTCTCCATTTTTTGAAAATTTTCTTACAAGAATCTAGGAAGGAAGACAAGGCATCTCACATGTCAGATCCTGACGCAGAATGCCTTTCCAACACTTCCGCGTTTGTACAATCGAATCATTAAATGAACTCGCGAGCAAGATCGCGATTCATATACATTGATACACACTTGTACATATGCATAATTATAGCGGGGTATCTTGAGTCAACGATAGAATTGGTCTGGAACATGAGCATTTTGAGCGTGAATCGCATCCGCCAAGGCGCATGTATACGATCAGTTACGTACGTATATACGTATTTCTTCTGTGTATGTAATATGAGGCGATTGGTTTTGAGAATAATAAGTGATGTGAGAGGTCTTTGTACAACACAACTCTTGGCATTGATTCTTGCGGCACTGGCAGGTTTAGTCACCGATTCCTAACGTCTCGGTCGGACCAAATCGCACCGGAAAATGTTTCATTTTGAAAATCCAAACCGGAAATTGGTTCGTAACATAATGCGAAAGGGTAAAGCATTATTAGTTGGTTCCTCAAATACGACGCATTATGAATTGCAAGAATATACATATTGTATATATATATTGACTATATAACTGACGATCTCTGACTGCAATCCACCATATATATGTTCATTAAAGAACGAAAAATGGTATAGGGTTAGTTAATCGGAAAATGTTAAAATACTAATTATACAAGTAGTTTAATTTCATGGTCGGTCCATTTGATTATTATATTATCCCTTCTGAATCGAGACATTAAAACTAATTAAATAATTTCGAATAATCCAACATATGCAAGCGTCACCGGGTTTTAAATGCAGCTAAACTCCAAATTTTACTAAAAAAATAGTCATCAATGGATAACACAAAATGGTTATCATCAGAGATAATAATTAAAAAATAAAATAAAAAATCAGAGAGACTTTCAACACATTCAAATTTTCTTGGAAATATATTATTTTATTATTTCTATCTTATATAAATTGTATTATATCCATTGGATAAAGGTCCCATTTAGTTTTAATATTGCTCCATCTTAATAAAAAAAAATAACTATGGAAATCATTACATTTTAAGATTTTAATATTTTGGAATCTGATTAAATTTATTTATTTTTTGTATCTGGTCTATAAGAAGGATTTTAATAAAAAAAAAATAATTGAACTGAACAAGTAACAAGCTACATATATTAATTCGTTAGAGCTAAGTCGTGATTTGCGTTAATTAATTTTTTTTTGAAAAAAAAGGAACAAAAAGAGTTCATGAAAGCTACATGCTAAATAGAGATGGGAAACTTTCTCGTTGTTTTGATTCCTTTTATTTTGGTTACAGATAAATTAAATGAGAAATGTAGAATGGTCGGTGACACGTGGCAGATGATCAGTGGATAACTTTTACCCAGACAACGTGAGTCCAACCTCAGATGCATGGCCATTGGTCTCCTGGAGGACAGAGGACCCGTGCTCCTGAAGGATTCTCTTTCTCCATGGCACCGTCAAAAGCAAGAATCTTTTTGTCATCCTAAGTGCAAAGCCAGTTTTTATTCATCGCCTTTATATATATATATATTGTAGGATCCGAGGCAAAACATTTCTTCCCCTATATATATATATAAACCCTATATATCATCTTCTCCACCAAACAAACAGAAAGAGAGAGAGAGATGGAATCGAGTCATCAAGTTCCATTACACCTATGCGTGTTCATATTCATCCTCTTGGTGCTGGTATTGATTTCTTGGTACGCAAGCTACGAACCCATCGTGGAGGGATTCATGGAGCAGGTGAAGCTCGCTCTAATGGCGTCTCCGTTGCTGCTACTCCTAGCCGTCCATTTCCTCTCCAAGGACGACGCTTTCCGACGAGGGCTCGTGCCTCTGAACGAGAGAGAGTCTCTGTACCGAGCCGGAGGCACTCCTTGGGGAGTCGCCTTCCTCCTCGTCTTCCTCTTCTTCATGCTCTCTTACCAGTCCCAGTTCCAAGAGCGCTGGTTTCCCCTTCTCGCTCGTTGAACTCCAACGGCGTCGTTTTGCTCTTCGTTCATTCTGTCTTCTGTCTTCTTCTTTCAATGTTTTCATTGTATTTAATTTTCTACTGTTATGTAAATCTTTGCGTTCATCCATCACGTTCTGATTTTCCTCCCCAAAAAAATGACGAACTATACTTTGGATTAGGTTTAAATGAATTTGTAGCCCATAATGTACGGATAATAAATTGTAATGTTATACAACAATAGGGATAAAATCTTGAAATATTTCGTTATAATCGATGTTGACCACTAAATCGAGTACAATATTATTTATATTTTCTCATTATCATATCAAACACAAAATAATTTTCACCCAAATGTCAATTCGTAATTGTTATGTCAAGAAGACAACAAAAAGCCCACAATGGCGCTGGGTGAGGTTTAATAAGGATATTAATGTAATTAACCCTAATACAATACAGTTAATTACATTAATACCCTTATCAAGGCTCTGACTTTGGTCTATATATAAAACCTCACGAGGAGATCAAATCAAACGAGCAACCAAATTTGACTAGAAAAAAAAAATGAAACCCAGAACGGAGAAGCGATTCAGCGGAGAACCCATAAATTTGAAGAGGGAAAATTCAAAACTTTACCAAGAAAAAGTTGAGAGCGGCAGTGGGCGATCTCGATCCTGTAGTGAAGGATGTGACCGCAATGTCTAAAAATAACGATAAAATCGGTCGAAGGAAGGAAGAAAAGAAGCGACCTTTTCATCAATGCGTGAGGCAGATGAGACATTCTTCAAGAACTGGTCTACAGGGTATTGAATTTCAGATCTAAATTGGGTTCCTTTGTTAAGATAAAGACACAGGTGATTCGCATGTTGCTTTCTTGTTCTTGAAGGGTTTCTGGCAGTAGCGGACTCAGAAAGATTTATGATTGGGGGCAAAGTTAATTTCATAATAGTAATTTTAATTATTTTATGGGGGCATATAATAATTTGTGTAAAATTTTATAAATTTTGTAAAGAAAATATTTTGTTTTAAAAAAAAGGGTGGGGGCCTGTGACCCCACTGCTAAAGAGCTGGATCCGCCCATGGTTTCTGGTCCTCTTCTTCTCTATTCCTCCGTTTCCTTGTCCGACTTGTCGGAATCTTGAAGTTGCTTCTTGATTGGTTTTTCACTCGATCCATCAACTGGGGTAGGCCCTTGTTTTGTTTCCCCTTTCTGTTCCTGTGGGTTGCTTTTGGATGCTGGAAATAATCAGTTATTTTTAACTTGGTTCCTCAAAGTTCGATTGCGGGAGCCTTCCGGAAGATGTCTCTGTCTTCTGGCTGTGATCTTGAAGAGGCCATGTCCGACTGTGAACTCGTGCCCCCTGTCCGTGATAGAGATCGCACCATTTCTTCGCGTCGCAAATGAAGTAGAGCCGATCAAGCGAAATCTGTTGCAAACCAGGCCGTTTCTACGGCATTTGAGAAAGCACGCAAGCTGTCTTTAGCAGCAAAATACAAAAGAGAGAGTTCTCAGAATGAGAATGCCTGCTATAATTAATTATCAGCAAATACCGAGCTGGTTCAGGAATTTAGCCGAGCATCGGACCGGTCACTAAACCGGAAATCGGGGCGCCTATTTGTGCGCACCATCACCGAGGGTCCAAAGCCGGTCCCTCGCGCCCTCGTTCGCTTCTTCTTCCCTCTCTTAGACTCTACTGGGTTTCTTCCTCCATTGCTGCTACTCCATAATTTCCCCCCAAACCCCTTGTTTTTCCCGTGCTTAATCGCCATTTTTAAGCATCTCCGGAGCTTCGTCTCCACTTTCACGCTTCTGCAACGAGCGAGAGACAGCCGCTTTGAAAGAAGATGAGTACGGTCGATAAGATGCTGATCAAAGGAATCCGGAGCTTCGACCCGGAGAACAAGAATGTCATCACTTTCTTCAGGCCTCTAACCCTTATCGTCGGCGCCAATGGAGCTGGGAAAACTGTAATTTCAACCTTCTCTTCTCAGTTCTCCCATTTCCTCACTTTGTAATTTCTCTTATTCTGTTTCCGTTTTTGTATTTTCGTCATTTCCAGACGATTATAGAGTGTTTGAAGGTTTCTTGCACCGGAGAGATGCCCCCGAACGCAAGGTCCGGCCACAGCTTCATTCATGATCCCAAGGTCTCTTTGCTATTCGCTTTTGGTTTCTCTGAAACATCTTCGTCTAACCTAAATTTCTTCTTTTTTTTCCTTTTATACAATGAAAGTTGTCATTTTCTAAGGCTTTTCATTGATCTTAGGGAACTGTCTTTCATGGGTATCTGAAGACTGATGAGTTTATTGGTGCAGGCAAATGGAATCTGTATGCAGCTTCAGTGTTGTTAGATTTTATTGTTTTCGTTCTTGCCCTGTAGGTTTCGGGGGAAACAGAGACGAAAGCACAAATTAAGCTGCGATTTAAGACAGCTGCGGGGAAGGATGTGGTATGCATAAGGTCATTTCAGCTGACACAAAAGGCTTCAAAGATGGAATTCAAGGCAATCGAAAGCGTGCTTCAAACTATTAATCCGCACACCGGGGAGGTTTGCTCATGATTTCTGCTCTTGTTCTTGAGTTAGGTTTACCACATTTCTTTTCCTGGATTTGAGCCTTGTCTTGTTAGTTGTCTTGATGTTGGTTTATTCATCTGCTGTTACTTCATGGGTATAGTTTGATGATTGCTGTTTTGAGTTTATTCCGAGCTGCAGTTAAAATTTCCTCTAGTTGCTTTTCTTTGGATTGCTCTCATATTGTCATGAAGTATATCCATGGCTGATGTTTTGCTCTGTCTGCTACCTGTTTCTGTTTCGTCGAGTTCAATTCTCTGTTTAATTCTTCCACAGAAAGTATGTCTCAGCTACAGATGCGCTGATATGGATAGAGAGATACCTGCTTTGATGGGTGTATCAAAAGCTATCTTGGAAAATGTTATATTTGTTCACCAAGATGAGTCTAATTGGCCACTCCAAGATCCTTCTACATTAAAAAAGAAGTTTGACGATATCTTCTCTGCCACCAGGTATTTCCTGGCTTATCTAGATTTGTAATAGACCGGATCATCGTTTTGTTTGTTCATGTGACCTGAATGCATCCCCTCATTTTCATTGTACTTGACTAATTCGCTCTAAAAAATGCTGTCTTCCTTGGTGTTTATTAAAAACTTGTCACAAATATATGACACTTCATCAGTTTATCCTGGGAAAGAAAGGATTTCTCCTGATTATATATCATGTTTGTTCTTTAGTAGGGATGTAATAAGTAGCTGTATCCATGATTTTTCTGTAATTGTCCTGGCTTCAAGAAGCCGACTGCTGCTTATCATTTCTCAAAGCTATAAATTTCCATTTAATTATTTCTTTCTCATCTAGATTATAAACTAAGATTAGAACAATCAAAATAATTGTTAGGGTACGGCCTTTTTCCCTAGGCTATGCCAAAAGGGTGCACAGGGTTCTTTGATAAGTTGATTTTTATTATCATATTCTTTATTAGATTATATTCATTTGAATGCCTTCACTCTTGTTATTTGATGATGTGACTGTCTGCTGAGATAATTGGGAAAGAGCCATATGCTCCCTGAGTTATTGTATTTTACTGTGTACAAAATCATTGGAACAGATACGATTGCTTTTGGTTTAAATGATTGAAAATAACGTCTTTCTGCCCAAACGGTGAAGGGATTTGCAGATTCAGTTGTTTGTATTCTTTCCCCAACCTCTTGCCGTTTCTGATTCCATTTGCTGTATGGTGTGAGCAAAAACCGTAATAGTTGTGTGTCAACATGAAGGTATACTAAAGCTCTGGAGGTTATTAAGAAACTTCACAAGGATCAAACTCAGGAGATAAAGACATATAAGTTGAAATTGGAGAATCTGCAGACCTTGAAAGATGCGGCTTATAAGGTTTGCTAAATTCTGAAGTAGCCGCTGAGGATTGTTTTATTTTTTTCTCAAAAAAAAAGTATTTAGACTTAAATTGTACTGTTCAGTTTTGGTTTTCTAGTTTAAGCAATGATACTTGATCATACAGCTCCGGGAGTGCATTGCCCAAGATCAAGAAAGGACGGAGTCTTCGAAAGTTCAGATGGCGGAACTGGAGACCAGCATTCAGAAAGTGGATGCTGAAGTTCATAATAAGGAGATGATGTTGAAGGATCTGAGAAAGCTACAGGATCAAATATCAAGAAAAACTGCTGAAAGGAGCACCTTATTTAAGGAGCAGCAGAAACAGTATGCAGCCTTAGCTGAGGAAAATGAAGGTTCGGTTTTATGTCTATCTCATCTTATTTGTCTCTGATGTTGTTCAGTCTGTTTCACAAACTCATTTTTATATTGGTTTTCCTTGTTGACGGATATGGCATCTCTGCATCTCTTTTGAAACTTTTTCTTTTGGTCTATCTGGAGAGGTTGCTCGCAGATTTCTATTATGTTCATGTGCATCTTTAATTTTGTTCTGCTTGTTCCATTTTCGTTGAAATTCATTGTTGTTTGTTCAGATACTGATGAAGAATTGAAAGAATGGAAAACTAAGTTTGAAGAAAGAATTGCTATTTTGGAGACCAAAATCCGCAAATTGGAGAGAGAGATGGATGACACAGAAACTACAATATCTTCTCTTCAGAATGCGAAAACCAACTGTATGCTAGAGATGAGCAAGCTTCAAACAGAGGCTGAAGTAACTCTAACAAAATTACCTTGGATTAAAAAAATGTAGAACTTAGTTTTACTGCTGTATTTCATTTGATCTTTTCCATTTTTTTTCACAGGCTCACATGTCTCTGAAGAATGAAAGAGATGCTACTATCCAGAAAATCTTTTCGCGTCACAATTTGGGGACTATCCCTAGTTTCCCCTTCAGTACTGAGGTCATTTTGAACCTCACAAATCGAATAAAATCAAGGCTAAGTGAAATTGAGGTGGATTTACAGGACAAGAAGGTAAATGTTCTTTGTGTATCTGTCTATTAGTAACAAACAAATAATTCTTCTCAATGGGCCAGGTCTGTATACATAGGACTTTTTTACATATGAAATGCGTAATAATGAAAGTCTCCTCTAGAGAGTTGATTGCCTGGTGCATGTATTGATACCCATGAGGATTGTTAAATATCATCTCAGAAATCAAATGAAACAGCAGTCAGCACCACTTGGGATCGCTATATGGATGCAAATGACCGTTGGAAAAGTGTTGAAGCTCAGAAACGAGCTAAAGATGAAATCAAGGTATTTTTCTCACTACCTTACCCAGTTATCACCTCCATCTGGCTTTAGTTTTAAAACATTTACTCTGGTTGTGGGTTTCATGCAGAGTGGCATATTGAAACGCATAGAAGAGAAAGAAATTGAGCGTGAGACATTTGACCTTGAAATATCTAGTGTGGATCTTACACAGATTGATGAAAGAGAAAAGAATGTGGTATGGATTTCTTCTTTTTCTTTCTCTATGATTTTGTCTCGTTGAGTGAGACCCTGCTAGCTATGCCAGATTTCATTTAGCTTATTTGTTTACCGTCATTTGTGTTTTTTTGAAGCAACTTGAGCTTGAAAGAAAGACAAAGCAACATTCTGAACAGGACTTTGAATCCAAAATAGAGCAGAAGCAGCATGAAATATACAGCATAGAGCAGAAAATTAAGACTCTTAATCGAGAAAGAGATGTTATGGCTGGTGATGCTGAGGATAGAGTGAAATTGTCTTTGAAGAAGACGGAAGTGGAGAATGTCAGGAAAAAACACAAAAAGATGTGATCTCACTCACTATTGCTTTTTCAGCGTATTTTTTCACATTTTATCAGTTCCATTATTTTGACTCTCATAAGACTGTTTCCAGAATAGATGACTGCAAAGATAAAATTAGAGGCATGCTGAAGGGGAGACTGCCAGCTGAGAAGGATTTAAAGAAGGAAATTGTTCAAGCCTTGAGGTTGGCCCTTTTCTTTAACTTTTTTCTTTTATAGCAATCGGCTGGATGCTCGAGGATTTTAGAAATCTATCTCAAAAATTTCCTAAATTTTGTTTTCTTTATATAAGGTCAACTGAAAGGGAATATGATGACCTGAGCTTGAAATCCCGAGAAGCAGAAAAAGAGGTCAACATGTTACAGATGAAGATACAAGAAGTAAACAATAGTCTATCCAAGCATCAGAAAGATAAAGAATGTAAGCACTGGTGAATAATCTAAAGGAACTTATCTGTCGATTATTTCTCTGGCTGGTACCCTGCAGTTGCAAATAAAATGGTCTTGGGTGAGGTTGTTAGAGAGCACCGGCTACTGGAAGGACTAATGTTAAGGATTGTTGAGTTTGTATATGAGGTTATCTGTTACAACTTTTTGGGTGTCATTTGACTGTAACACCTTAATACTCTTGACATTTTGAGATCCACTTATCAACACTTGTGAACTAATTAAAGAAAAATAGCAATCACTCCAGTCTGACTTGAGTATTCTTTATGCAGCGAGAAAGAGATACATTGAATCCAAGCTTCAGGTTTTGAATCAGGAATCATATACCATTGATGCTTATCCCAAATTGTTGGAGTCTGCCAAGGAAAGAAGAGATGTCCAGAAAAGGTTCCGATACAGACTGAACCATGGAACACCCGCATGCATGCCATACATGAATTTCATGATTATTCTTGTTTTGCTGTCAAAAGCTTACTTCTGTTTCTTGTCTTCTTTTGCAGCAAATATAACATTGCAGATGGAATGCGACAGATGTTTGATCCTTTTGAGCGAGTGGCCCGTGCACATCATGTCTGTCCTTGCTGCGAGCGCCCTTTCTCTGCGGAAGAGGAAGATAGCTTCGTTAAGAAGGTTGTGAAATCCTCTTCGGTAGTTTTTCAGAGGAAGTTTTGCCTTGAATTTCAGTTCCAGCTTTTCAATGTTTCCATTCATTTATGCTATTGTGACTTTCTTCAGGCTTCTTTAGTCTATTGAGTTTTTGTTAATTAGCATGAGGTCAATCTCTTGGGAATTGTTCATTTAAATCTCACTGCGTAATGCTTAATCAAAATCAAAGGAGTAGAAATCTGGTTCTAGAAAGGATATTGTGCGTATTGCGTAACTATGGTTCCTGTACTCTTTGAATGAGACAGTACCCCACGTCAAAGGGATGCAAAAGCAAAAGCTAAAGCATTTTTTCCTTTTGCTTACTACTTTATGCATCTGAAGTTAGTTATTGTATCCTTCACCGAGGATTTATTTTTCCCAATTACAGCAAAGGGTCAAGGCTTCAAGCTCTGCAGAGCATGTCAAAGTATTGGCCTCAGAGTCATCAAATGCTGACTCTGTTTTTCAGCAGTTGGACAAACTTCGCTCTGTATTTGAAGAGTACTCTAAACTTACTAATGAAACCATCCCTCTTTGTGAAAGAAGCTTAAAAGAGCTCAGAGAAGAGCTAGAGCAGAAATCTCAAGCCCTTGATGATGTGAGTTTGCAATCTCTAGAAATTATTTTCAATATTTGCAGCCTAATTGTGCATCTGTATATTATTGATGTCCTGTTGTTTTAGCTAACAATGCGTGTTTTAGTCCCCTTTTCTCCTCTTGAGATCTCATAGTGTAAACTCTATATTAAGTTTCAAGGAAACTGGGTCCACCAAAGTCTTCCAGTACAGCTAAATTTGTTTTCGAGTAGTTTTAAAGAGGATTGTTATAGGTTTTATTTCTTTGGCACGAAGAGTATTGTAGGTTTTGCTTCTAAAATAGTTTACAGTTTAAACTAGATGCATGTGGTGTACCCTGGTAAATTGTCAGAAACATAAAGGAATTTCCTTTGTTCTTACTGAGGTTCATTTAACAATCTGTTGTCTCTAAGAAACATTTGGATGTTAAAATCGCTGAACTAAGATGAGAAGTCCATGCATGCAATGTGGCTTCTCCACAAACGATGTCAATGCAGGAATTTCGGGGGAAAACTGGGAAGTCTCTCAACATCACTTTTAGCTTATGCGTTCTTTTTCCAACTCGTGTGTGCCTTCAGGTCTTGGGTATCTTAGCTCAAGTAAAAGCTGACAAGGATTCAATCGAAGCATTGGTACAACCCCTTGATAATGCTGAAAGGCTTTTCCAAGAAATTCAAACCTACCAAAAGCAAATTGAAGATTTGGAATATAAGCTGGATTTCCGCGGTCTTGGGGTTAAAACTATGGAAGAAATCCAATCAGATTTAAGTAGCCTCCAAAGCACAAAGTAAGTAGTCTGATACTACAAACACTTTTACTAATACCGAGATATCAAGAACAGAGTCTGGTGCCAAATTTTACGTATTTTCTTTTGTGTTTTTGGGTTAGAAAGATTATACATTTTTTCCTTTCTTCTCATCCGTTCATAAACAGGGATAAATTGCATGATGAGCTGGAGAAATTGAGGGATGAACAGATTTATATGGAACGTGATCTATCATGCCTTCAGGCCAGATGGCATGCACTGAGAGAGGAGAAGTCTAAGGTTGCTAATTTGTTACGTGATGTTACAAAGACAGATGAAGAGTTAGAGCGTTTGGCGGAGGATAAAAGTCAAATTGAGCTCGATATGAAGGTTCATCACATGAAATTTTTTCTTACCTTTTTCCCGCTTTTGGCGTTGTGTCAGCACCTTTTCCAATGTTCAAAATGATCAAAAGTTAGTATTTTCATGAATGAGAATTCTGGAATCCGAGAGAATGAAGTAAAAACCGGTTAGTGAATCAATGTTCTTCTGATGAAATATTGTTAGTAATGGGTGCTTTGTTCCATAAATTTGCTGCTTATAGATCTGTAGGAGCAACAACACTGTGTGAGGCTAAATTCGGTCAATTAGGCATTCTTGCATTTGCATCTCTATCATCGCTTGTCTCTATAAATCTATTTTGCAACACTTCAACTATCCTAATCATGCACATTCTTCAGGTGTTTTCACTTTAGACGCATGCAACAATATAAAGAAAGTTGTTAAGCCCCAAAGCGCACGAGTTGGTTAAATGTTCATTCATGATTAGCCTGACTGCTAAACTTGGCTCTGTTCTTGTCTCTGCCTCTATTTGTTATGTTGTATTGATTTAACGATATTTTCTAACTTAATATTTTCAGCATTTGAGCGAGGCTCTTGGCCCCTTATCAAGGGAGAAAGAGAAGTTACTGAGTGACTACAATGCCTTGAAAGTTAAGCTTAATCAGGAGTATGAAGAACTAGCTGAGAAAAAGAGAAACTACCAACAAGAAGTTGAGGCATTACTCAAGGCCAATTCTAAGATTAATGAGTATGTTCTGTCAACTGGGGATAATTCATTACACTCATGCGTACCATATATACTTACACTTACCTGACCAGGTATAATGATCTGAAGAAAGGAGAGAGATTGAACGGTATTCAAGAAAAGCAGCGGGTCTCTGAATCTCAGCTCCAGACATGCCAAGCCAAAAAAGACGAAATTTCAGCAGAACTGAACAAAAGTAAAGACTTGATGCGAAATCAAGATCATTTAAGAAGAAATATAGAGGATAATCTGAATTACAGGAGAACTAAGGCTGAAGTTGAGGAGCTTACACGTGAGATTGAGTCGCTGGAAGAGAGCATACTGAAAATTGGTGGGGTTTCTGCCGTCGAAGCTGAACTTGTAAAGTTATCGCAGGAAAGAGAGAGACTTCTTTCAGAGGTACACAAACTCTTATATGTTTATACAACCTTACCATATGGCAAATTAAACTGAGGAAGATCTTGGCCTATACAATTTCTGAGTTCTCCGCCGTCCTTTACGCTAATTCTGAGACTGCTTCGGTCTCTCCAAACATTCAATATCAGAAATAAGCTTCTTCTAGTTTTCTGTTCCAGAAAGCTAATGAGTATTGAGTATCAAGAAAGATGTTTTCCTTGTTACATAATGCTGCGAGTCACTGACATCAACTTCCTGCAACTCTCTTTTATGCCATTCTCTGTGATAGCTGACTTGGTGAAGATGATAATATTATTCATGTAAAAGCATATCATTATGTTTTCCTGCAGTTGAACCGCGGACGTGGGACTGTGTCTGTTTACGAGAGCAATATTTCAAAGAACAGAGTGGAACTTAAACAGACGCAGTACAAGGACATAGATAAGCGGTACTTTGATCAACTCATCCAGCTAAAGGTAAGGCTTTGTTTTACTATACTGCATTGCTTTTCATGACCCCACCTACCAATGTTGACCATTGCATTTTGCCCAGACAACTGAAATGGCAAACAAAGACTTGGATAGATACTACAATGCCCTTGACAAGTAAGCTATTTTCCCCCTCGGGCATTTGCTTGCAGTTTATGCCTATCCCCTTCACTTATCTTTCTTCAAGTTTCCGTAACGGATTTCTCTTTTTGAATTGTGTAGAGCACTGATGCGATTCCATACGATGAAAATGGAGGAAATAAACAAGATTATAAGGGAACTGTGGCAACAGACGTACAGAGGTCAAGACATAGATTACATAAGAATACATTCAGATTCAGAGGGTGCAGGCACTCGTTCTTACAGCTACAAGGTGTAGGAACATAGTTTCGTCTGTTTCACCGTCTGAACTCCCTTAACATTGCATTCTACTCTTTTGCTTGTAGGTTCTTATGCAGACCGGTGACACGGAACTTGAGATGAGAGGACGATGCAGTGCTGGTCAAAAGGCGAGTTCTCTCAAATTGTTCTTGTGGGAACGTGTATTCTTTGTGTATTGTTCTCAAAACTTGATGGTCATCTTTGTCTTCCTCCATAGGTTCTTGCTTCCCTGATCATACGATTAGCTTTGGCCGAAACATTTTGCCTCAACTGCGGAATATTGGCCCTTGATGAGCCGACTACAAACTTGGATGGCCCAAACTCCGAGTCTCTAGCAGCGGCCCTCCTCAGGTTCTATTCTCATCCCTTATTTACATGCAAAAAGAGGTTATATCATCGTGTTTTTATAACTATCAGGAAACACTCCTTTCTTTGCATCAACGACCTCGACAGAAGTGATGAATAGTGATTAGCATTTATATAAAAACTGGAAATTCAGCATCCAAAGATTGAATTTTCGAAAGATATTATTGTTAGTCTGATCTTAAAGTCTCGCAACTGTGTCGGTATTTGTGTAGAATTATGGATGATAGAAAGGGACAGGAAAACTTCCAACTTATAGTCATTACACACGACGAGCGTTTCGCTCAACTCATCGGACAGCGGCAGCACGCAGAAAAATATTACCGCATCTCGAAAGACGATCTGTAAGCTCCTCTGTTTCGGCATATTATTACCAATCATTTCTTTTATGTTTCTCATTATCTGAAACTCGAGTTGTTTAACGGTCTTTTCTCAGGCAACACAGCATAATCGAGGCCCAAGATATATTCAACTGATGATGAGCCGTTAGTGAAGTGGTAAGTTTCAGTTCCAAAGATCCTGGATAGATTTGTTTTGTCTTAGGCTTTTGTTTAGTATCGATTGACTTTAGGGTTGTGGCCCGAAATGTGAAGAATTAACTGAACCCGATGTGCAGAATTTTGCTTAAACCAAAAATAACCGAATGAAACTCTAAATGTTCATTTGGTTAAGTTCAGAAGAATCCATCATATCCATTGACCCCACACTTTCGCTTGCGTCACATCTGACGTCACGGTATCGCGTCAGCTGGTTTTTTGTGCGTATGTTCGTTTTACACGTGTGTGCATGCACCTGATCCGATTACGTAACACCAATTTTTTTTCCTTTGAAAGATTTTTTTTTTTCATTACGTTTTTTTGGTCGTTACAACCTGAAGTGGAATATTAGGATGGCCTGTCGGTTGTCGCGTACGTTTGTTTATTTGCAAAGATACATGTTTTCCCTGATTAACTTGGCTACAAAGGTACATGTATTATTATTATTATTATTATTATTATTATTGTAACAAATGTTAATACGAATATGTGAATACCGAAAAAAAAAATAAAAAACAATCGTGAAATATATTGTATGATATGGATAACTTTGAGGTTTAGAGATATTGTCTTTCTTACGATTAGATTAGGTTTACATATATATAGGCAACTAGCATGTTCTATAGCGTATTCACTCTCCATCCCCAGACACAAAACAGTGTAGACTCCGAGAGCCATGGCGCCGCAAATGTTGTCCGCCGCCTCCAAGTTGACGTTCAAGGTGCATCGACGGCAGCCGGAGCTGGTTTCACCGGCGACGCCAACACCTCGTGAGATCAAACTGCTTTCCCACATGGACGACCAACAAGGAGTACTTAGATTCCATGTTCGTCTCATCTTTTTCTACAAATATGAAGATTATAATAGCAATGGTGGCAAGAACCGTGATCCGGTTGAAGTGATTCGCAAAGCACTGGCTGAAACGCTCGTTTACTATTACCCATTTGCCGGTCGCCTCCGGGAAGGGTCCGACCAGAAACTGGTGGTCGACTGCAACGGTGAAGGCGTCATGTTCATCGAGGCTGATGCTGATGTGGCTCTTGATGAGTTCGGAGATGATCTTCTTCCTCCTTTCCCCTGTTTCGAGGATCTTCTCTTTGAAGTGGAGGGTTCTAGTGGCATACTCAACTCTCCCTTGCTTCTCATCCAGGTGTTATATATACATGTTTCGTAAGAGATGCCATTTTGGTAGGAAAAAAAATCAAATATATATATATATATGAATTTAAAATCGATATATATATATATGTGGGTAGAATTCGTAAATATTATTATATTAAAATGGTGTGGTGCAGGTCACACGTCTGAAATGCGACGGCTTTATCCTCGCCCTTCGCCACAACCACACCATGGCGGACGCTGCCGGATTAACTCTCTTCTTGACCACACTCAGCGAGCTGGCGCGTGGTGATCACGCTCCATCCATCCATCCTGTCTGGTACCGTCACCTGCTCAACCCCAGGGTTCCGGCGCGTGTTACCCACGCCCGCGAGTATGATGTAACAGAACCAGTGGCTGAGGCCGAGACTTTCGCATGCAATGACAATGTCCAACGCTCTTTTTTCTTCGGCCAGTCCGATATCTCCGCCTTGCGTGGCCTCCTCCATCCCCATCAACGTGAACGAGCCACACATTTCGAAACCCTAACATCTTTCATATGGCGATGTCGTACCGCCGCTCTAAAGCTCGACCCTAACACGGAAATGCGATTGAAGTTCATAGTGAACGCTCGTCCTAAACTCAAGAACCCGCCTCTGCCGCCTGGATACTATGGAAACGCAATCGTGACTCCCGTAACGATCTCCACTGCAAAAGAACTGACAGAGCGTCCTCTCGATTTCGCCCTGCGACTCGTGCGGGAGGCGAGATTGAGCGTTACAGAGGATTTCTTCCGGTCTTTAGCGGATTTCTTGGCTACGAATGATCAGCCGCTCTATGAAGCGGCCACACTCCTCGTGGTATCGGATGTCAGACGCAGTGGGTTGGAAAACGTGGATTTTGGGTTTGGAAAGCCGCTGTATGGCGGCTTGGCCGATGCCAGGGCCGGGAATTTTCAAGGATTGATCTTTTACGCAACACATAAGAACACAAAGGGTGAGACCGGAACCGTAGTTCTCATCTGTTTGCCGGCGCCGGCAATGGAGAGGTTCGAGAAGGAGGTGAAGGATGTGTTGAGTGATCATCAATACGTTTGTGAAAAACCCAAGTACGTTATAAAGTCTACGCTTTAGATAGATACGATAAAAAAAATGTTATTCGAACAACTAAAGAAGATACGATGTAAGATCCAAGTTTATGGGCAAAAGTCAAATGTCGTACAACAAAAGTTACGGGCTAATTAGTAATATACGATGTGGTTGTAATCGTTGGAGTTAATCATGTTACTTGTGGGTTTTTTTTACTTGGTCATTTGTAATTTTTTTATTTCAAATTTGAATAAGTCGTAAAATATCTAGGGTTAATTATGATCTTCCAGATTTTTTGTTTTGGTTTGTTTATTATTATTCATTATAAATAAGAATTATGGGCTCAAGAGATAAGAACATCACTTGAAAAAAAATCTCTTTTCTCTCTCCTACTACTAAATCCTCTCGCCAACTATTCTCCTTTTTTTTCATTAGTTTTATTTTTCAAAATGAAAAACCAGAAAAATAAATGCATGAACTCGTGTTGATTAATTACTAACAATGGTATCAGAGCCACGGTTATTGTTTTTCCTTTCATAGTTCATGTCGAAATCTATGTCAATGGAAGAGTCGTCGAGGAGTGTCATTCGAAGTGTCGATCGAAGTGGCAAGAGTATTCAAAATGAAGGTGTTGAGACAACGAAGATAAGGGAAGGAAGCGTGTCTCTTCAATACCCACTCCTGACAAAGACAAATTACACGGTATGGGCTATGAAAATGGAAATTAACATGCAGGCACAAGATGTTTGGTATGCGATCGAGTTAGAGGGATCTGTTGATAAGAGCAAAGATAAGATGGCTCTTGAAGTAATCTGTCAGGGCATAAGTGAGGAGACCCTGTTACAGATAGGAGTAAGAAGAACGGCAAAAGAAACACGGGATGCCTTAAAGATGTTGAATCATGGTGCGGCTAAAGTAAAGGAGGTCAAAGCACAGTCGCTAGATGAGAGTTCAAAGGACTCAAAATGGAAGAGAGTGAATCGGTGGATGAGTTCACCGGAAGAGTATCGACGATCGTGAACAAATTAAAAGCTTTGGAAAAAAGCGTCAACGAATGGTACGTTGTTAAAAAAAATGCTTAGATCAGTTTCTACGAAGTACATCCAATTGGCATCAACTATTGAGGAGTTTGGAGATTTGACGACCAAGTCGATCGAAGAAATCAGCGGATCACTTAAGACGCATGAGGAGCAGTTAAGGGGTCGTGAATCGAGAGTTGATGAACACGTTCTCATCGCTCAAGGTGACTGGCGAAGAGGTCGTGGTAGAGGTCGTTCGTTTGGATGAGGTCGTGGTCGAGGAGGTGAGAAACCAAAGTTTGATATAAACAAGATCACGTGTTATGCATGTCATAAATATGGTCATTTCGCCTCTGATTGCAAAACAAGAGAAGAGAGAGATGAGAAGCTCATCTGACCGAAGAGGTTGAAGAGGAGGCCATTTTGCTGTAGGTGAAGACAGAGGAACAAGATTAAGGAGATGATTGTTAGAGTTAATCATGTTCCTTGTGGGATTTTTTTACTTGGTTATTTGTGATTTTTTTATTTCAAATTTGAATAAGTCCTAGAATATCTAGGGTTAGAATATCTAGGGTTAAGTATGATCTTCCAGATTTTTTGTTTTGGTTTGTTTATTATTATTCATTATAAATAAGAATTATGGGCTCAAAAGATAAGAATATCAGTTGAAAAAAAACTTTTTTCTCTCTCCTACCACCAAATCCTCTCGCCAACTATTCTCCTTTTTTTCCATTAGTTTTATTTTTCCAAAATAAAAAGTCAAAAAAATAAATGCATGAACTTGTGTTGATTAATTACTAACAATAATAATACCAACAATAATAATAATAGCGATCTCCGTTGATTTTCATTGGGGGTGAACTTTTCGATATAGTATCTTATAATCTAATCGAAAAATATGATATTGTTTTCGAACCGAATCATGTAAAATCTGGGAATGGTAATTTTTTTACAAAATCGAAGTTTTTAAATCGAATCAAACCGAATTTTTTTAAAATTTCGAAAAACCAAAAATTTGTTAAAAAATCTAAATAATAACCAATTGAATCGTGTTTTTATAAAATCGAAAGAATCAGAGTGAACAATTCCCAAAACGAATCTGAATCGAATACCGAAATCGTTCACCCTAATTTTCACAATCTACAAACCGATCTACGTTTATAAACTACAACATTGAATTTGTGTATAGTTATGGAGGAAAGCTTCCAACTAATAGTCATTGGCCCACATCAGCACGCAGAAAAATATTTAATATTACACGAACCCTAAAAGTAGACATTTTCATCAAATAATTTAAATTAAATAGAAAAAAAAAACAGTTTCATGATTAAGATAGGGAATTGTGTTTGTTCCCTGAACGTCTCTAGAGACAAGTGTAACCTTAGGATACTTTCGTTTTACTTTATTAAATTATTTTATAAAGATACTAGTTTTTTCTCATCCGATTAATATTTTTATTGGAGTGTAACCTATGTCAATATATATACACAAATATGTGAACACAAATTAATATTTTTATTTGAGTTTTTATACATAATTTTTTGCGGTCCCATATTTAGTGGTCCGAATAAGAGCGATATGCCAAGGGAAAAACAAAAACGAGAGTCACATTTATAATAAACGTCAGCTTAAGTGGTGTATATATATATACATATAGAAAACAAATAAACTATCCATATATTACAAAACTACCCACTAGAATTATTAACTACCCACACGGTAAAAACTTCCCACCAGACGGTAACTAGACTTCTGGTAACTTCTAAATCAGGTTTGACCCTCCTGAGTTAACTCTATTCTTGACAACAGTCGGCGAGCTGGCACGTGGTGCTCACGCGCCGTCCGTGCATCCCGTTTGGGACCGTCACCTGCTCAACCCCAGGGTTCCCCGGTCGTGTGTTACCCACCGCGCGCGTACGAATGTGGAATACAACACACTTTCTCTCACTGTCAAATTCCTAAGAAACATCATTTCTCTCGTAACACAGAAAAAAAAATATTTAGAACCGTAACCAAGATTTTCACCGAACAAATTTCTTTGAATACCAAAAAGAAACCAAAAGAAAACACTCCAAAAACCCAAATATTGGATTTCTTCGTGAAGAAGAAAGCTTCTTCAACCAAGACTATTTTTTTTTTTTTCTGGGTATTGCTTCTGTTTGTTGGTGGTGATGTTTCAGAACGTAACTTGCATGGTTATTTACATGAGAAGTCACGGGCGTATTTGTGGCTGAAGGCAAAAGTCACCAAACCACTCACATGTGTTTGTTTGTTTTAAAAAAAAAAACAAGCATCAGCCTTTGTCTGCAGGAATCTTGATTATCGAAGCCATCATTTCACAATCATGTTCGTTGCCGTGAATAATTGCATTGCATGGTCCAATATTCGATGGTCCGAACAAGGTTTTTGTCCCAGAGCCCCATGCTTAAGTGACGACGGATACAACCAAAAACGAGAATCACGTTTATTGCGGTTCGAACTAATAAAATCGTGACACGTTGTATACGACTATACGTAGATATCTTTTCTTTCTCCAAATCAGATGTGTAGGTATTCCTTTTCCCTATAAATATCAACTATAATTAGCATGTTTCTAGCGTCTTCAATTCACTCTGTATTGTACACTCATGGCACCGCAAACGCAAACGCTTCAGCTTCCGGCTACCTCCACCTTGTCCTTCAAGGTGCATCGGCGGCAGCCGGAGCTTGTTTCTCCGGCGAAGCCAACTCCGCGGGAGGTCAAAACTACTTTCCGACATGGACGACCAACAAGGACGAGTTAGAATACATCTTAGTCTTATTTTTCTCTACGAATCTAAAGATTATAAAAGCAACGATAACAAGAAAAGGGATCCGGTTGAAATGATCCGCAAAGCGCTGGCGGAAACGCTGGTCTATTATTACCCATTCGCCGGTCGGCTCCGGGAAGGGCCCGACCAGAAACTGGTCGTCGACTGCAACGGCGAAGGCGTGATGTTCATCGAGGCCGATGCTGACGTGGCTCTTCATGAGTTCGGAGATGATCTTCTCCCTCCTTTCCCCTGCTTAGACGAGCTTCTGTTTGAAGTGGAGGGTTCTACTGACATACTCAACTCTCCCTTGCTTCACATCCAGGTATTAAATATATATATATATGTGTTTTTTTATAAAAAAAATATTAGAAATCTGTGTGAATTAAGAATTGACATGAATTAGAATCGGGTTTAATTAAATTCATATCATGTGTAGAATTAATTCCACGTAGTTGGGAAAGGAGTTTTCCATGGGATTAAAAAAAAAATCATTGGTCGATGTTTTATGATATTAAAACGGCGCAGGTCACACGTCTGAAATGCGGCGGCTTTATCTTCGCCCTCCGCCTCAACCACACCATGGTGGATGCTGTCGGGTTAACTCTCTTCCTGACAACAATCGGCGATATGGTGCGTGGTGCTCACGCGCCATCCGTCCATCCTGTCTGGGACCGTCACCTGCTGGGCGCCAGGGTCCCGGCGCGTGTTACCCACGCCCACCGTGAGTACGACATGAGAGAACCGGTGGCTGAGGCCGACAACGTCCAGGGCTCTTTCGTCTTCGGCCCGTCGGATATCTCCGCCATACGTCGACTCCTCCATCCCCACCAACGCGAACGAGCCACCGATTTCGAAACCCTAACGTCGTTCATCTGGCGATGTCGTACGGCCGCTCTGAGGCTCCACCCGAACACGGAAATGCGATTGCAGTGCGTGGTGAACGGTCGTGGTAAACTCAAGAACCCGCCGCTACCGCCAGGATACTACGGAAACGTAATCGTGCTTCCAGTAGCGATCTCCACCGCGAAAGAACTGGTGGAACGTCCTCTGGGTTTCGCCCTGGAGCTCGTGCGCGAGGCGAAATCGAGCGCTACGGAGGATTACTTCCGGTCGGTGGCGGATTTCTTGGCGACGACGAAAAATTGGGCTCAACCAGAAGGGGAGACACTCTGGCTGGTGTCGGATCTCAGACGCATTGGGTTCGAGAACGTCGATCTAGGGTTTGGAAAGCCGTTGTATGGCGGTTTGGCCAAGGCTGGGGCCAAGAATCTGCCGGGCGTGAGCTTTTACGAAAGTTATAAGAACAAAAAGGGTCAGATCGGAGCAGCGGTTCTGATGTGTTTGCCGGCGCCGGCGATGGAGAGGTTCGAGAAGGAAGTGAAAGATGCGCTGTGTGTAAACCCAAAGTATGTTATTAATTCTATGCTTTAGGCAAAATAGTATGTAAAATCCAAGCTTATGGGCCTAATGGAGTTCATATGTCGAATCCAACTATCTCAGCCCAATACTAATGTGAGAGTATCATAGATTTTGAAGATATTACTAAATTTATTATTCGGGTTGAATTTAATTTCAGACCCTTTATTAAGTTATATATTTAATTTTGTTATAATATCAATAACAATTAATGTGTAGTGACCGATCTCGTTGAATTTCTTAAATCAAACTTCCCACGTTGGGTCCATTTTCATGTAATGTATGGCCACGGAACGATGAACTTACGTGACAAACTACAGTCGCGGTGAATTACAAAAATCAAGAATCACGTTTATATCGTTAAAAACAACAAATAATGGAATACATTAATTTCGATTTCCTCGAGGTTACTAGAGCTCTTTTTTTTTGGGTAGCAAAAAAACTTTTTTTTCCTTTCTTAAAATTCGATTTATGAAATTTTTTCTTCTATATGAAATTCTACCAATTAGCATCTTTCTAACATATAGAACACATCAATTCACTCGCCACGCACCGACCGTAAAGCCATGGCGCCGCAAATGTTGTCCGCCGCCTCCAAGTTGACGTTCAAGGTCCATCGACGGCAGCCGGAGCTGGTTTCTCCGGCGAGGCCAACACCACGAGAGGTCAAACCACTTTCCGACACGGACGACCAACAAGGACGGCTTAGATTCCATGTCCCTCTTATCTTTTTCTACAAGTTTAGGGACGATGAAAACAATGGTGGCAAGAGCAGGGATCCGGTTGAAGTGATTCGCAAAGGACTGGCTGAAACGCTCGTTTACTATTACCCATTTGCCGGCCGCCTCCGAGAAGGGTCTGACCATAAACTGGTGGTCGACTGTAACGGCGAAGGCGTGATGTTCATCGAGGCTGATGCTGACGTGTCGCTTCAGAGTTCGAGGACGATATTCTTCCTCCTTTCCCCTGTTTCGAGGAGCTTCTCTTTGAAGTGGAGGGTTCCGATAAGATAACTCTCCCTTGCTTCTCATTCAGGTATTGTATATATATTTTTCATAAGAGATGTCATTCTGGTTGGGGAAAAAAAAATCAAATATATATATATATATGAATTTGTAATCAATATATATGCATAAGATCAATGGGTAGAATTCGTAAATATTATTATATTAAACAGTGCAGGTCACACGTCTGAAATGCAGCGGTTTTATCCTCGTCCTCCGCTACAACCACACCATGGCGGACGTTGTCGGACTCTCTCTCTTCTTGAGAACGCTCAGCGAGCTAGCGCGTGGTGCTCACGTGCCATCCGTTCCACCCGTGTGGGACCGTCTCCTGCTTAACTCTAGGGTCCCAGCGCATGTTACCCACGCGCATCGCGAATACGACATAACCTGTCGGATATCTCCGCCATACGTCAACTCCTCCCTCCAGAACAACGCGACCGCGCCACCGATTTTGAAACTCTAACGTCATTCATCTGGCGATGCCGCACCGCCGCCCTGAGGCTCGACCCGAATACGAAAATGCAATTGAAATGCATAGTGAACGCTCGTCCTAACTCAAGAACCCGTCCCTACCTCCTGAATACTACGGAAATGCAATCACGGCTTCCATAGCGATCTCCACCGCGAAAGAACTGACAGAACGCCCGCTCAGTTTCGCCATGCGGCTCGTGCAGGAGGCGAGATCGAGCGTTACAGAGGATTACTTCTGGTCCACGGTGGATTTATTGGCGACATCAAATGATCGGCCGCTTGCTGAAACGGCCACAACCTTCGTTGTCTCGGATGCCAGGCATAGTGGGATCCAAAACGTGGATTTAGGGTTCGGAAAGCTGCTGTACGGCGGCGTCGCCATGGCCGGGGCAGGGGATTTTCCAGGAATGAGCTTTTACGAAAGGTATAAGAACAAAAAGGGCCAGATCGGAACAGTGGTTCTGATGTGTTTGTCGGCGCTGACGATGGAGAGGTTCCAGAAGGAAGTGAGCGGTTTGTTGAGTGATCATCAGTTTGTTTCGGACAAAGGAAGTGAAAACCCAAAGTGTGTTATTATTAAGTCTACGCTTTAGATACAATAAAGAGGAGAGCCTCTTGTTCGCTGAGAGGGCTCCGGTTGTGAGAAAACCGGAGGAAAACCGGTCAATGCCAAAACGGAGCTTTTGGTCAATAAAAAGACGCTATTATTATTAGGTCCTTTTAAAAACCTCGAACTTATAAAAAAATATATAGATAAACCTTCAACTTGCAAAGTTGTCATTCAAATCTCAAACTTTCAATATATAAGTGAATAAAACCTCGAACTTGCAGATTCTTGCTCTAATAACCCATTAACTTGTTTGACCACAATTTCAGAGAATCGAAAATCCACGTTGGCCTGGAAAGCTGATGTTAGCGTGTCCACGTAACCAATTTTAAATGAATTTTTGCCACATCAGCATTTTTTGGGTTAAAATTTAATCCGATTTGAGAGTAAATAAAGTCAGTTTTTCGGGCCAACGTAACAGAACATAATCAGATTGAAGGTTTATTCAGTTAAAATTGGTTATGTGGATACGCTGACATCAATTTTTCGGATCAACGTGGATTTTCGATCGCCTGAAATTGTGGTCAAACAAGTCAACGAGTTATTAGAGCAAGAATTTGTAAGTTTGAGGTTTTATTCAGTTATATGTTGCAAGTTTGAGGTTTGAATGATAACTTTGTAAGTTGAAGATTTATTTGTATATTTTTTTGCAAGTTCGAGATTTTTTAGGAGTTTTACCCTATTATTATCAATTTACAACAACATTCCAGAGTCCGGACCCATCATAGAGAATAAGAGAAGAGAGGGTTAATTACGGGAGAGAAATCGAGCAGTTCCCTAGACTGAAGCCAAGGTTTGATGACGACAACGGAGTTGAACATTCGAGTCGTACAGTCGGACAATGTTACTTCGATCTTGAGGAAGTACTTTATGCCCGAAACCACCTGCTCTTGAGCCTCCACCACTCTACTGAACATCAACGGATCGAACACTGCTGCTTCTTCACTCGTCGACCCTCTTCCCTTCTCGTGTTCTCTTTCTTCTCTCAGATTGAACTCTTGCACGCAGTCGGCAGTACTGTGAATTGTTTCTCAAATCCGATTATGAGATCATGTAAACCCTAGATTTCACATATATATTTGGTCTTGAACTTGATTGATCCTTACTAGAAATAATTATACACCAAGATCACTGTTTGTACCAAGTATTTTGATCCATTTAAAGAACTTCCTTGCACCCAAATCATTTCTTTTATGTTTCTCATTATCTGAAACTGGAGTTGTTTAACGGTCTTTTCTCAGGCAACACAGCATAATCGAGGCCCAAGATATATTCAACTGATGATGAGCCGTTAGTGAAGTGGTAAGTTTCAGTTCCAAAGATCCTGGATAGATTTGTTTTGTCTTAGGCTTTTGTTTAGTATCGATTGACTTTAGGGTTGTGGCCCGAAATGTGAAGAATTAACTGAACCCGATGTGCAGAATTTTGCTTAAACCAAAATCCAAAAATAACCGAATGAAACTCTAAATGTTCATTTGGTTAAGTTCAGAAGAATCCATCATATCCATTGAGCCCCACACTTTTGCTTGCGTCACATCTGGCGTCACGGTATCGCGTCAGCTGGTTTTATGTGCGTATGGTCGTTTTACACGTGTGTGCATGCACCTAATCCGATTTCGTAACACCAATTTTTTTTCCTTTGAAAGATTTTTTTTTTCATTACGTTTTTTTGGTCGTTACAACCTGAAGTGGAATATTAGGATGGCCTGTCGGTTGTCGCGTACGATTGTTTATTTGCAAAGATACATGTTTTCCCTGATTAACTTGGCTACGAAGGTACATGTATTATTATTATTATTATTATTATTATTGGACCTGATTAATGTTTTGATTTGACTGTAACAAATGTTAATACGAATATGTGAATACCGAAAAAAAAAAAAAACAATCGTGAAATATATTGTATGATTTGGATAACTTTGAGGTTTAGAGATATTGTCTTTCTTACGATTAGATTAGGTTTACATATATATAGGCAACTAGCATGTTCTATAGCGTATTCACTCTCCATCCCCAGACACAAAACAGTGTAGACTCCGAGAGCCATGGCGCCGCAAATGTTGTCCGCCGCCTCCAAGTTGACGTTCAAGGTGCATCGACGGCAGCCGGAGCTGGTTTCACCGGCGACGCCAACACCACGTGAGATCAAACTGCTTTCCCACATGGACGACCAACAAGGAGTACTTAGATTCCATGTCCGTCTCATCTTTTTCTACAAATATGAAGATGATAATAGCAATGGTGGCAAGAACCGTGATCCGGTTGAAGTGATTCGCAAAGCACTGGCTGAAACGCTCGTTTACTATTACCCATTTGCCGGTCGCCTCCGGGAAGGGTCCGACCAGAAACTGGTGGTCGACTGCAACGGTGAAGGCGTCATGTTCATCGAGGCTGATGCTGATGTGGCTCTTGATGAGTTCGGAGATGATCTTCTTCCTCCTTTCCCCTGTTTCGAGGATCTTCTCTTTGAAGTGGAGGGTTCTAGTGGCATACTCAACTCTCCCTTGCTTCTCATCCAGGTGTTATATATACATGTTTCGTAAGAGATGCCATTTTGGTAGGAAAAAAAATCAAATATATATATATATATATATATGAATTTAAAATCGATATATATATGTGGGTAGATTTCGTAAATATTATTATATCAAAATGGTGTGGTGCAGGTCACACGTCTGAAATGTGACGGCTTTATCCTCGCCCTTCGCCACAACCACGCCATGGCGGACGCTGCCGGATTAACTCTCTTCTTGACCACACTCAGCGAGCTGGCGCGTGGTGATCACGCTCCATCCATCCATCCTGTCTGGTATCGTCACCTGCTCAACCCCAGGGTTCCGGCGCGTGTTACCCGCGCCCACGAGTATGATGCAACAGAACCAGCGGCTGAGGCCGAGACTTTCGCATGCAATGACAATGTCCAGCGCTCTTTCTTCTTCGGCCAGTCCGATATCTCCGCCTTGCATCGACTCCTCCATCCCCATCAACGTGAACGAGTCACACATTTCGAAACCCTAACATCTTTCATATGGCGATGTCGTACCGCCGCTCTAAAGCTCGACCCTAACACGGAAATGCGATTGAAGTTCATAGTGAACGCTCGTCCTAAACTCAAGAACCCGCCTCTGCCGCCTGGATACTACGGAAACGCAATCGTGACTCCCGTAGCGATCTCCACTGCAAACGAACTGACAGAGCGTCCTCTCGATTTCACCCTACGGCTCGTGCGGGAGGCGAGATTGAGCGTTACAGAAGATTTCTTCCGGTCTTTGGCGGATTTCTTGGCTACGAATGATCAGCCGCTCTATGAAGCGGCCACACTCCTCGTGGTATCGGATGTCAGACGCAGTGGGCTAGAAAACGTGGATTTTGGGTTTGGAAAGCCGCTGTATGGCGGCTTGGCCGAGGCCAGGGCCGGGGATTTTCAAGGATTGATCTTTTACGCAACACATAAGAACACAAAGGGTGAGACCGGAACCGTAGTTCTCATCTGTTTGCCGGCGCCGGCAATGGAGAGGTTCGAGAAGGAGGTGAAGGATGTGTTGAGTGGGGGCAATTGCAAAAATGACTTTAAATATCATTTTTACTTCACGGCATGACCCTGTCTTTTTTATAAAAAAAAACATCATCATCTTCTAACCTTATAATTGTATCTTTCCAAAAATACCCTTACCTTTTTAATCATTATTAAATTTAAAATGAAAATATTTCAGCTCTCTCTCTCCTCTCCCAGCTCTCTCTCTCTTCCTCCGTTCGCATATGTCGAACCTGCAAACTCTCTCTCTCCTCTCAAACGTTCTCTGTCTCTAAACTCTCTTCATCTACAGTCTTTTTTTCAGCTAATTTATTGTGAAAAACAAGCAAAAGCTTGAGACAATTCATCGATTAAACACATATATGAATAATCGATAAGTATTTTTCTAACATTCATTATTAAGTGTGGGCATTTGTGATTTGTTTTTGTCATCTTTATATTTAATTCATATGATACAGATGAAACAAATATGACATATTTATCAGCAATACCATGATTCACGTGACTCACCGCCGCCTCCAAGTTGACGTTCAAGGTGCATCGACGGCAGCCGGAGCTGGTTTCACCGGCGACGCCAACACCACGTGAGATCAAACTGCTTTCCCACATGGACGACCAACAAGGAGTACTTAGATTCCATGTCCGTCTCATCTTTTTCTACAAATATGAAGATGATAATAGCAATGGTGGCAAGAACCGTGATCCGGTTGAAGTGATTCGCAAAGCACTGGCTGAAACGCTCGTTTACTATTACCCATTTGCCGGTCGCCTCCGGGAAGGGTCCGACCAGAAACTGGTGGTCGACTGCAACGGCGAAGGCGTCATGTTCATCGAGGCTGATGCTGATGTGGCTCTTGATGAGTTCGGAGATGATCTTCTTCCTCCTTTCCCCTGTTTCGAGGATCTTCTCTTTGAAGTGGAGGGTTCTAGTGGCATACTCAACTCTCCCTTGCTTCTCATCCAGGTGTTATATATACATGTTTCGTAAGAGATGCCATTTTGGTAGGAAAAAAAATCAAATATATATATATATATATATATGAATTTAAAATCGATATATATATGTGGGTAGATTTCGTAAATATTATTATATCAAAATGGTGTGGTGCAGGTCACACGTCTGAAATGCGACGGCTTTATCCTCGCCCTTCGCCACAACCACACCATGGCGGACGCTGCCGGATTAACTCTCTTCTTGACCACACTCAGCGAGCTGGCGCGTGGTGATCACGCTCCATCCATCCATCCTGTCTGGTATCGTCACCTGCTCAACCCCAGGGTTCCGGCGCGTGTTACCCGCGCCCACGAGTATGATGCAACAGAACCAGCGGCTGAGGCCGAGACTTTCGCATGCAATGACAATGTCCAGCGCTCTTTCTTCTTCGGCCAGTCCGATATCTCCGCCTTGCATCGACTCCTCCATCCCCATCAACGTGAACGAGTCACACATTTCGAAACCCTAACATCTTTCATATGGCGATGTCGTACCGCCGCTCTAAAGCTCGACCCTAACACGGAAATGCGATTGAAGTTCATAGTGAACGCTCGTCCTAAACTCAAGAACCCGCCTCTGCCGCCTGGATACTACGGAAACGCAATCGTGACTCCCGTAGCGATCTCCACTGCAAACGAACTGACAGAGCGTCCTCTCGATTTCACCCTACGGCTCGTGCGGGAGGCGAGATTGAGCGTTACAGAAGATTTCTTCCGGTCTTTGGCGGATTTCTGGGCTACGAATGATCAGCCGCTCTATGAAGCGGCCACACTCCTCGTGGTATCGGATGTCAGACGCAGTGGGCTAGAAAACGTGGATTTTGGGTTTGGAAAGCCGCTGTATGGCGGCTTGGCCGAGGCCAGGGCCGGGGATTTTCAAGGATTGATCTTTTACGCAACACATAAGAACACAAAGGGTGAGACCGGAACCGTAGTTCTCATCTGTTTGCCGGCGCCGGCAATGGAGAGGTTCGAGAAGGAGGTGAAGGATGTGTTGAGTGGGGGCAATTGCAAAAATGACTTTAAATATCATTTTTACTTCACGGCATGACCATGCAAAAGTAATCTTATAACCCGTATACAACTTTTTGAATCATTTAGATTTAATTTAGGCATTTTTTTCGTACCCAAATGGTCAGACGGTCATACGGTCATACGGTCATACCTTGGTCAGACGGTCAGACTTGTTCAAAATTGCATAATTCATCGTTTTAAAAGTGTTAATATTGTATCGATTAAACACATATATGAATAATCGATAAGTATTTTTCTAACATTCATTATTAAGTGTGAGCATTTGTGATTTGTTTTTGTCATCTTTATATTTAATTCATATGATACAGATGAAACAAATATGACATATTTATCAGCAATACCATGATTCACGTGACTCAAACTGGTCGAAATCGTTAAATTTGTGAAATTCGTCAAAATGGAAAAATTCAGTAAACTGGTCATACATACGTGTCGAAATGGTCAACTGGTCATACTCCTAAACTGGTCATACTTGTCAAATTGGTCAAACTGTTCATATTCGCAAAATTGGTAATACTGATCATAATCATCAAATTGGTCAAACTGACCATACTCATAAAATTTGTGATATGATATTATTATTACTTTGTTAACACTTTTAAAACGATGGATTATGCGATTTCGAACAAGTATTACCGTCTGACCAAGGTATGACCGTCTGACCATTTGGGTACGAAAAAAAATGCCTAAATTAAATCTAAATGATTCAAAAAGTTGTATACCGGTTATAAGATTACTTTTGCATCGTTTTGGAGTTCTAATTTCACGTGAAAAAAAAAATCTCTCGACATAAGTCAATTGTGTTCAAAATTGGATAATTCATCGTTTTAAAAGTGTTAATATTGTAATAATCATATCATATCACAAATATTTCAAGTTCAAATCGGTCGTAGCAATATGGATTGAGTACATTTTTTGTTTGTCAATGTAACTCCTTCCAAAGATCATACGGTCATACCTTGGTCAGACGGACAGACTTGTTCAAAATTGGATAATTCATCGTTTTAAAAGTGTTAATATTGTAATAATCATATCATATCACAAATATTTCAAGTTCAAATCGGTCGTAGCAATATGGATTGAGTACATTTTTTGTTTGTCAATGTAACTCCTTCCAAAGAAAGCCTAAAGTAATAGTAATGTTTGTGTAACACATTGAGTACAATTGACTTATGTCGAGAGATTTTTTTTTTTCACGTGAAATTAGAACTCCAAAACGATGCAAAAGTAATCTTATAACCCGTATACAACTTTTTGAATCATTTAGATTTAATTTAGGCATTTTTTTCGTACCCAAATGGTCAGACGGTCATACGGTCATACGGTCATACCTTGGTCAGACGGTCAGACTTGTTCAAAATTGCATAATTCATCGTTTTAAAAGTGTTAATATTGTAATAATCATATCATATCACAAATATTTCAAGTTCAAATCGGTCGTAGCAATATGGATTGAGTACATTTTTTGTTTGTCAATGTAACTCCTTCCAAAGAAAGCCTAAAGTAATAGTAATGTTTGTGTAACACATTGAGTACAATTGACTTATGTCGAGAGATTTTTTTTTTCACGTGAAATTAGAACTCCAAAACGATGCAAAAATAATCTTATAACCCGTATACAACTTTTTGAATCATTTAGATTTAATTTAGGCATTTTTTTTCGTACCTAAATGGTCAGACGGTCATACGGTCATACCTTGGTCAGACGGTCAGACTTGTTCAAAATTGCATAATTCATCGTTTTAAAAGTGTTAATATTGTAATAATCATATCATATCACAAATATTTCAAGTTCAAATCGGTCGTAGCAATATGGATTGAGTACATTTTTTGTTTGTGCAATGTAACTCCTTCCAAAGAAGACCTAAAGTAATAGTAATGTTTGTGTAACACATTGAGTACAATTGACTTATGTCGAGAGATTTTTTTTTTCACGTGAAATTAGAACTCCAAAACGATGCAAAAATAATCTTATAACCCGTATACAACTTTTTGAATCATTTAGATTTAATTTAGGCAAAAAAAAATCTCTCGACATAAGTCAATTGTACTCAATGTGTTACACAAACATTACTATTACTTTAGGTCTTTCTTTGGAAGGAGTTACATTGACAAACAAAAAATGTACTCAATCCATATTGCTACGACCGATTTGAACTTGAAATATTTGTGATATGATATGATTATTACAATATTAACACTTTTAAAACGATGAATTCTGCAATTTTGAACAAGTCTGACCGTCTGACCAAGGTATGACCGTATGACCGTATGACCGTCTGACCATTTAGGTACGAAAAAAAATGCTTAAATTAAATCTAAACGATTCAAAAAGTTGTATAGGGATTATAAGATTACTTTTGCATCGTTTTGGAGTTCTAATTTCACGTGAAAAAAAAAAATCTCTCGACATAAGTCAATTGTACTCAATGTGTTACACAAACATTACTATTACTTTAGGCTTTCTTTGGAAGGAGTTACATTGACAAACAAAAAATGTACTCAATCCATATTGCTACGACC